ATAACATATGCGTATTCTTTGCTGAGTATATTCCAGGAGAGGATTGACATCAAGACTACCATGAAATATGGTAATATTTCTTAAGTGATTTTTGAAAATAAAGAAATCATTGCACACACACAAGTTTTTTTAAAAATATATATAGATAATGTTACAACTAACGTGTGTTACTCTTATAGTGATCAGAGAAGGAAGTATTCTAGCAATACAGAAGAATATTGATTTAATTTTACTTGCGAAAAGTATGAATTGTGAACTCCTAATTACTGAAGTTTGTAGGTAGCTTTACTGAAAACCTTCACGAGACAAAACTCGTCCACTAGGGATCACCTAGGGGTTTAATGACTTGTTGCATATGCTAAATGCAATCATGATAACCTACAAAAGTGATTCTATTTTGTTAATAGTTTTTATTTACTAGAGACTAGTAAAGTTTAGGTTGGGGAGTGTGATTAACCCTAATTAATATTTAATTAATACAATTAAATAATTTAATTTTGTAAGGTAAAACAATTAAAAATTAAAAATTAGGGTTTGTGCGTAAATCAGGGTTTTATGTGTGTACTGTCTAAAATTTCAGGATTTCTGCGCTAAATTGCTGGAAATCATAAGGAACAGTATGTCAAAGCTGAAACTAACAAGGGAAGAAAGTGTAATATTATCAAGAAACCACCAGAACAAGGAGAGGATCAGCACCAAAAATCTAGCAAGCCAGCATTGTCCGAATGGTGGTGGTGGCGGCGTTCAGACAGTGGCTCTTGGTGGTTCAAGTCTATCCTCCACCTTTTGCTTCCTATTTTGCCTATAAATAGGCCATGTAGCCTTCTTCAATCGAGGGGAGAAGGGAGAGGATGTTCAAGGGAGCTCTATAGAATCCAAAGAAAAGAAAGGAAAATAAAAAGACAGAAAAAAGGAATAAATAAGATATCCATAGTGAAACCCTGCTCAACTTACTCTCCAGCAAGAATTTTGTATTTCTATATTTCTGTTATGCCTTTTTACTAGGAGAATTGAACTGCCGCCACCTTTGTGTCTTAACTGATATTAAGGGTAGTTGTATTTCAATTATTCGTTAGAAAAGGAGTATCAGTGTCAGTATTTTATCTAGTATTGTAATGAGAGCTACTTGCACTTCTTGCTTGTTTATAGCAATGGAGTGTGAGTAGTTTACATATACTCTTCAGTGAGGGGTAAACATATGTATATTATTGGTTAAATTATGAAAATGTAGATGTTTTATTATGCTTTATATATATATATAATATGTTCACTGTTATGAACACTGAGCGATACTTAATATACCATATTATTTACTATTATGTACTTTATGCATAATACAGTGATATACGTAATTGGTGTTACGTAAAATTCGATTGATTGGTTATAGATGGGTTAGGTCTTGACATATCCAATGCGTTCAGTTCAAAGTGAATCATCAACTTGCTGGTGGAATATCTAAAGTGTTCAATATGAATGGCTTGACCTTCTAGTGCACTGAGGATGTTTTACTATTGCATGGTACAATTGTCAGATGAATAACCTAAGTGATCCTCTTGAATGACTTGACCTTTTGAATTACTAGGGTTGTTTAACTGATACATGATATAAAAATTGTCAAATTAATAACCTAAGTGATCCTACTGAATGGCTTGACGTTCTGGATTGCTAGGGTTGTTTGACTGATACATAATATAATATTTTCAATTGAGTAATTCAAGTAATCCTCTTGAATGACTTGATCTTCTGGTTTATTTGGATTAGTCAATTGTCACGTATACCACCAGCTAACCTAAGAGGTTGCTGTGTTATGGTTTATATACATCAACCTACCGATTGACTTTCCAGCGACCCGAAAGTTAATTGTTGTAAGGTGGCATTTTCAGTACTTAACCAATATAAAGCATATGATATCCTTAAACTAAAGGGTACCTTTAATATTATTGTCTTCTAACAATTTACTTACATATTTAAATAACTTAGACTAGTTATCAATTTAAGCTCACATCACAAGCTATCTTATGTTACACTACTTTAACAAAAACTTCATTGTTCTTATTTTAAATTTCAATTATTAAAACTCTTAGTGGGATCGATCTTGGACTTAAACTGAGAAAACTACAATTTGACCATTTATACTTGGATGTATGATGTAAATCAAATCAAGAAATAGGTTGAATCAGGTGCCTTTACCTCCTGGTAAACGCCCCATTTGTTGTAAGTGAGTTTATAAAATCAAAACTCAATCTGATGGTTCTATGGAAAGGTACAAGGCTAGATTAGTGGCCAAGAGATTTGGTCAATAGTATGGACTTGACTACGATGGAACCTTTGCTCCAGTGGCTAAGATGACCACGATTCGCACAGTAATTGTTGTGGCAGTTGTTCGTCAGTGGAGGTTTATCTGAAAAGGTCTATATGACAACTCCTCTTGGGTTGCCTTGTAGTCCTGGTCATGTGGGCAAACTTCACAAGACTTTATATGATCTTAAACAGGCCCTGAGGGTGTGGTGTACAAAATTTTCTTCAGTCATATGTGACTTAGGCTTCTGTGCTAGTGATCATGATTTTGCTCTCTTCATTCGATCCACTTTTTCTAATTTCATTCTTCTATTACTTTATGTAGATGACATAATTATTACAGGTGATAACAATGCTGGAATTTAGCTGTTGAAAACTCAGTTACAGGATTATTTTAAGATGAAATATTTGGCTCCATTTCAATATTTCTTAGGGATTGAGGTTGTTTCCTCTCCCATGGTTTATCTTCTTTCTTAGTCAAAATATGTCTTAGATGTTATTCAAAGAGCTTACTTATCAGATACTCAAACGGTTGACACATCCTTGGAGTTCAACGTTCGTTATACTTCCTCTGATGGTTCTCTTCTGCCTGATCCTACCTTATATCGTACTATTATTAGGAGTTTGGTGTATCTTACTATTACTTGTCTAGATATTGCTTATGTTATTCATGTGGTTAGTCAGTTTGTTGCTACTCCTACCACACTTCATTGGTCTACTATTTTTCGGATTCTTCGATATTTACGGGGGTACGTCACATTAGAGTTTATTATTTTCTTCCTCTTCGTCTCTGGAGTTTCGTGCTTACTCTAATATAGGCTGGGCTAGTGACTCTATGGATCACAAGTCCACCACTTATTTTTGTCTCTTTTTTGGTGATTCTCTTATTTCTTAGAAAAACAAGAAACAAATTGTAGTAGTTCGATCTTCTGCTGAAGTTGAGTATCATGCTATAACATCCACCACAACAGAGATAGTTTGGTTGCTTGCTGATCTTGGCATTTCCTTGACTACTCTTACTCATCTGTATTGTGATAACACTAGTGCTATCCATATTGCTCACAACTTGATGTTTTATGAGCGCACCAAACATATAGAAATTGATTGTCACTTTGTACGCCATTGTCTTCATCTGGGCATGATCTCTCTCCCATATCTTCCTTCTACTATGCAGTTGACAAAATCTCACATTATCGCGCCCTTTCATTTTTTTCCTTGACAAACTCTTGATATTTGATGCAATCACATCATGAGTTTGAGGGGGGATGTAAGAGTAATCTAGTATATTAGCAGCAGGGGTAGATTAGTCATTTATGTTACTATGTTTTGCCCTAGTATATAAGACTATTATTGTGTAGTTTGTCTTCTTAATGAGTCTGTAATACAGATCTAGTTATTCTTAATGAATATATTTTTTCTCTTTCATTGATAAATATTAGCAATTAAGTGCTTGAAACTAAATTTAAATAAATAAGGGCTATGAACGAGATATGTCAATTCTTCATAATTTGTAATATAAAATACATATGGATTGAGTTTTGTACAAACATAACAATTTTTTTTTTTGCAGATCAAATCATACACTAATAGATATGGATAGTTTGGAAATGCAATCACTAAGAAAGCAATTCATGTCTCTCTTCTAGGTTTAATATTAATATTTAAAATTTATGATTGTCCTTTTTTTATTAAATAGTTCAAAGTCACAAACTCTAATATTATCCACATATTTGTTTCGCAGTTGAATGGTGGATCAATTATTGTGAAGAAGCTCCTCATCTACATAAAATTGCAATCAAAGTTTTAAGCCAAACACGTTCTTTATTAGGCTGTGAAAGAAATTGAAGTACATAGTCACTAATTTATACAAAACTTTGCTATCGCTTAACAATGAACAAGGTGCATCAGCTAGTGTTTGTGCATTACAATAAGCAGTTGATATTTAAGAATTTGATGTAGCAACGTGACAATGACGATTTTTACAATCCAATTGATTTCAACCATATTTGTAATGATAAGGACGTGTTAGATGAGTGGATACGAGAGGGAGAACAACCTATTTTGCCAAGGAGACGTTTCCGTTTTCAAGGAGACCGAAACAAATTAGTGATGAAATAGAAATTCTAATATTTCAAAGTATTTCATAATGTTTCGAGATATATTATAATATGTCAATACATTTTGCACAATTGTTTCAGAATATTTCAATATATTTTAAGATACTTTGATATATTTAAATCAATGTTTTAGAAAAATAATTATTAAATTTTTTATTTTTTTATTATGTTTTCGAAACGGGTTGAAACATTTTCGAAACACATCAAAATATTTCCGTTTTCTAGGTGACTAAAACAATATACCGAAACAAAATTTTGATCATTGAGTGTAACCAATATAGAAGAAATGCTCCTCTGACTAAAGTCGGGGGAGAAAAATGAAAAAAAATGATCACTTGGATTGTTTCTCATTTTCAGTAGTGCACAGCCAGCTAGCTGCCTTGTACCATTTATTGTTGAAGCATTTCGTTTCTTTACTCCACAACCCCCAGTTGAAATTATATGTGCCACGGTTGCAAATTTTGAGGGGACTTGTACAATTGTACTGAATAAGATGAGGTAGTTGGTGAGGGTATCTTTCATCTCATTACAATTAAGGAATTTATTCATTATTGGAGTGAGCAGGAAAATGTCTTCCATTGAAGAATGATGGTGAAGAAACTGAAAGCATTGAGTTAGAAAATTCTACAATTGATCCTAAACCAGCAAAATTAGTTGTTATTCTTTTTCCGCAATGTTTTATTTAAGATGAAGAATAAACTTATTTAGGTTTAATGGAAGTCCATATTCATTCTTACTTCTAGCTATTATCCTATACCTTCTGGAGAAAGCTACATAACAAAATATTTGTAGTTGAAGAGATAATGCAAAAATGTTGCATCTGTAAGCTGTCTTGGAACAAGTTACTGGGGGGTAGTCAGATATGACTTATTTTTCTTGGACCAGTGTTGTATAATAGCTCCTTGTAGAAATTGTGGCCAGGGTTTTAACTCTTTCATTTTAACAAGATCTATGGTACTCATGTTATCGTGGGTTCTAGGTTTTTGTTTATTGGGTCTGATGGTTCTTGATCCAACTCATTGCTGTCGCTGGCAGAATTCTTATTGCCATTCAGATAGCTTCAGGACCTTCATCCTTTGTGTCCTTCTAGGTTCATTTTGCCTTCTCTGTTTTACTGGAACATATCTGCTTCACATGTGCTATTCTTAAATCTCCTGCCCACTGGTTGCTGTGATATCAAATCCATCTCCTCACTCATGGAAATGCAAGATTAGAACACTAGTAGAAATTAATTTGGGTTTTCATATTTTTTTAGGGATTTCTTTGGTATTACCACTTCAAGAGCAAAACCCGTCAAGATGGATGTAGCCCAGAAGGTTTCTGTAAAGCTGCAATGTTTTCTTTGCTCGTCAAGGAAGAGCTTGAATCGTGGCCAGAACAGAACACTCGAAGTAGAAATTGGCTAAGCATACCTAAAGCAGTAGAGCGTTGCCGACATCCGTGGATGAGAGATGCACTAGTAGAAGGCTTCTCTAAATGGCATGATGAGACGATAGATAGAGGAAAAGAGTTCTTGGATCAAGATTGATTTTGGGGGTCGACAGAGTGCGTAAGCATGCGCTGACCAGCAAGCATTCGTCCGACCTTTTTGGGTAAGTTTTTTTTCCCTTGTTCATCAAGTGTTCTGCCAGTGATCTTACTCTTCCATAAGTTTTGTCTAGCTTCCTTGCATAGTTTGTCTAATTAGTTTTCGTTCCATATTCATCATGTTGTTACTAGCCTCACTATTGTCTTTTTTGCAAAGTGGAAAAAATGTAGGATTGTCTTGTTAGCCCCCTCTTGGATATTTGCTGATGTATCATATTTTTGAGAGTAGGGGAAGCATTTTCACGGGGCGAGATTTGAACCCACGAGGGACATACCGGGGAGAAGGGTGGATGGCCAAATCCTTTCCACTAGGTCCTCTTACTTCTTCTCTTGTAGATGTATCACTTGTTCATACGTTTGACCATTCTTTTTGCTTCTATTCCAAACTGTTATGCATAAGATCTTACAAGAACTTGCGCGACTGCAGAAATGGTGTCGACCAAGAGATGAAATCACCTACTAGTTTCATAGCAAAGTTGTAGTAACTAAAATTTTAATGCTTTATTGTGGTGAATATCAATGTATCAAGTATGCTACAGCTAAGACATGGCCATTTTTTTTTTTTTTTGAGTCTCATACTAACTTAAGTATGGGAGGATCAACTTTAGAGCTCCTCCGGTTTTCGATTTATTTTTCAGATGCTTGTGGTCTAGGGAACTAATGTGGAGACCGTTCAAAATTTTGCATCAAAAGTTGGTATCGTCTATGAAAAACAACCAGGTTGCTGTTAGAAGGACCTTCCACGACGGTTAACACAACATTGATGGATGTTTATGGGGAAAACATGTCCACAGACATCCATAACCACGAACCACCAGAAAGATATCACCAAAAAAGAGACGTTTTCGTCCTAAGAAGCATTTGGAGTCTTAGCACATGATCAATGTTATGAACCGAAACCACAAATAAAATAATAACGAAATAAAAATAGAAAAATAGAACACACAAATTTACATGACTTGATTTAATAAGTAAAGTTTACGTCTACGAAAGAAATACGGTAGTAAAATTTCATTGTCAGAGGTTGGGGATTACAAAATTATTATCTACAACAAAAGTAAGAGAATGTTATCACTCTATCACATTATTAGAATATTAATTGCGCCCGAATATCTTCTATCAACCAAATTTGATTTTCCCAAAGAAGATCCAAAACAAATAGAGCAAGAGTCAATTTCCACGAAGAGAAGACGTGGACGTCGAACTCAAAAGGGCTGAAATCGTCTTCTGTCCTTACTCCCAAGCTTTAAGCTTCTGGACTCCTTTTTGTTCCAAACACTTCTAAAAGTCGAAGCGTTTCCCCAAAGTCCATTGTGTGTTGGACAAAACCACCATTAACCAAGTTAGTGTAAATAAGGATTGTTGTGAACTGTCCTTGATATCTTTAAACCCACCAAAAACTCGGTGTCAATGAATTTTGTCTATAACAAATTCGTATCTTGGCTTGTATTCCATCAAATTATCCAACTAAAATGAAATTGATTGTTGTCTTAGCCAATCTGTAGGATACAATTTAAATTGTGCAAACACCAATCAAGTTGAAACACAATATTTAAATTTGAGCACTAGTACCGACTTAATAAAAATATTTATTGACAGCGAACCTTATTCACTTTAACAATATTTTAAGTTAGGTTAAAAGTAATATTTAATGTCAATTTATTTGGTCCTTTCATGATACATTCGATTTTTGGTAAAATATATTATACTCTGACTATCACAAAATACAATAGTCGCCTCCTCTTTCCATTGATCAAACTTTTTAACCAAATTGTTTCTTTAACTGTTTCTGATATTATTATGTATTTTGCCTTTGTAATTGACAAAATAACTATAAATTATAGGGTCGTCCTCCAACTTACAATGAACCAAAAAAAAGAGATTTCTTATTATTCAGATTGTCAACATAATTTGAATTAATATAACAATAACAATAGAATTAATATTATATTTCTTTTGAAAGACTAAGTCAACATCTGTAGTTTGCTCGACAACATAAAATTATAGACGTCCCTTTAATGACATATTAACGGTTGACAAATTTATTGCAGACAATCATGGCAAATAAGCCATCAGTGTTATTGTTCATTCGTATAAAAAGAGGATGATATTGTTTTCGTTTTTAAATATCTGTCGTTTAAAATTTTTGTACAAGAATTAAAGGAGTTATTAAATAATTTTAATATGAGTAAAAAATAATTACACAAAACTAAAATACTCTTATTCAATACGTATTGAGAAAGAAAAGAATATAACAGACACTTAACCTCCACCTAATTTAATGCATTGAAAAATTAATGATAAATTTAAAAAAAAAATATTAATTATGTTTTAGTTTCATAAAATGACAGATATTATTAAATAAAAAAAATTATGTAAAATTATAAATATTTAAAGACGAGAGAGTACTGCACTGTATTGAGTGGCTGGACTAGTTTGAAAATGGCCGTTGCAACAACGAAGTTTTCAGTATTAAATTATCAATGATAGCTTGGAAGTTAGTACGGAAGCTTTGTTCTGCACTCCATTAACTGTGCAGACAAGTGCAGATAGGGAGGGTAGGGTCTTTCGCCCCGTCCTACAAATAGAAATTATGATATTTTATTATTTTTATTTAATATTTTATGAAAAATAATTTTTTTTGGTTTATTTTATTCGATTAAGTGTATTATTCTTATCTAAATTTAATCCAAAATAATCGGATGGGAAGTCGGGTAAATAGTTAGGTAAACACAATATTTTTTAGTTATTAATTTTTAAATCATTTTAACAATTTAATTAAATAATCTGTACTAATTAACCAATAAAATAATGTTAAAATGCTAAACTGTTAAAATATTAAATATTAAAAATTTAACACATTAACGGTGCTTGTTGGACAAATGATGCTCTGTATTCAAACCAACTTTTCACAATTGACAGGAAAATTTTCACAAGTTGAAAAAAAGAAAACCACAAAGGTCAGTTTGCTTACTCAGATTGGTTATTTCTTATGCTTGTAGTTGCACGAGATTGAAAATAATATGTTTGTCATCTTTGTGGTGTCTTCTCTTTCTGCTATTAAAAAGGACAATAATGCAACTTGTTCTAAAGATGAGTCAAAATAATGAGGTTCTCATGTAATTATTTATTCTTATTGGGTACTTAAAAAAAGACTAAAAGTCAAGATACTTTTCCCATAAATTACTTTTATAATATAATTTTTGACCCCTCAACTATTTCATATTTCATATTGCACCTTTAATTGTCGTGTTTATTACATTACGCTTCTGACTAATGTTGTTGATTTCACATTTTCCCATTGCATGCATATATTACAAATTGAATAGAGACGTGTATCACCTTGTCTTCGAAGTATGCCATTCTGTTCCAGGTTGATCCCCCAATCAAATGATGTGTAGATATTTTTTGGGAGCGAAGTGTAATCACAACATGTAATTTGTCCTTAAATAAATGTAGAGGTAGTTGCATTGTTTGGTCACAATAGGACCAAGAGTATAAAGATCAATCAGAGAAAACTAGTATATAAGGCTATAATTTCTTCTATCTTATACACTTGAACCAAGTTTGAATTCAAGACATCTCGCTCCAACTCCTACAAACTCATGGCCAAAACTTTCTCTCTCTTCCCTGTCTTAATTTTCTTGGTGATGAACTCTTTCATGGCTTCCTCACACACCATGACCAACCTCACCACAGATGAATCAGCTTTTCTAGCATTCAAAGCCCACATAACTTCAGACCCTTACAACATCTTGGCAACCAACTGGTCCACCACCACCACCACCTCAACCACTATTTGCGACTGGATTGGTGTCTCCTGCGGCGTCCGCCACCGGAGAGTCACTGCCTTGAATCTATCCAACATGGGTCTCCGGGGAACCCTCGCTCCGCATCTGGGAAACCTCTCATTTCTGGCTTCACTTGACATTAGTTTCAACAATTTTCATGGCTTTCTACCCCAAAAACTGGCTCACTTGGGTCGGTTGAAAGAGGTTGATTTGTCATTTAATGAGTTCACGGGAGAGATACCCTCTTGGTTTGGAACCTTCACAGATCTTCAACACATGCACTTGTACAATAATTCTTTCCAGGTAAATGTATGGCATCAAAGAATTACTTATTCATGTTGTGTACATATTTATTACAAAAATACGGGTTGGTATGCAACTCAATTTAGGAAGAATATGAGGTTAGAGCATCACCAATTCTTGTCCTTTTTTAAATTCAAACTTAAATTTGAGTAAAAATATCTCAAAACCCTTTTTCAATCGTAACGGCTAGTCAAATGCCCCCCGCCCCTGTTGTTGAACTTTAAGGTTGTATATTCGAACTTCGTCGTCCATTTTTCAATAATTGTGTCTAATCCAGCAAATATTTAGGAAGAATATTATAAAATAAGTTATTTGAGATGTGTTATGATATTTTATGATCATTTTAATTTCTTTTCATTATAATTTGATCTCGCTAAGTCATAACAAGTGACATAGCAAGCATATGACCAAAGAAGCTATGATATCATATGATACTTGAAAATTTAAATAATTATTACAAATCCATATTGTTACCGTGTACAAAACTCATCACGTTTTGATTTACAGTCAACCTCCACTCATGCTCTTAGTCACATAACTCATGTAAACAATTGACGCTTCACACGTGAATTCTTGCTTTGAGAGCTAATTCTTCACAAATTTGCTCTTATTTTATAAAATTCACGGATTTAATTTTTCAATTTACGAATTCAACTAATTCGTGCATGTTTATTCATTATTACTCAAATATTTATTTAAAAGTACTGATTCATGCCAAAATATACATATATAACTAGAATTATATTTTTAAACTATAATTATCATTTTAAGGCCTTACATGTATTTAAAAATCAAATAGTTTGTCACATGGTAGTTTATCTATTTAATGAAAATCTTAGCCCTAATGGATCTCCCGTGTTTTGGAAGATCCTTTGCTTCAGCTTGAGCTTCAATTGTGGAATTAATTGCAAGGTTTGGGTTCTCATGAGAACATTAGCCCTAAAAAAATATATTAATTTTCAACTTACATCTTAAAAGATTAAAATTTCCACATGATACCGTCAATCAGATAAAAAAATAATAATAATGTGGTCCAAAACAAAAAAAATTGTTGTTTTGTCTGATAATTTTTTTGAGATATAGTTTTTATATTTTTTTATCATTTTTATGCTTAATGTCTATTACTCAGTTTTAAATCTTTTATATAAAGTTTGCATTCTCCATTTCAAAAAAACTAATCATGTTGCCACCTTTTAATGTTATCGAAGGTATAATTTAAATTTTTTAAAGTATAAACTAAATTTAAAAAAAAAAAAATTAGGTTGCCCTTTCAATTTGTGCAATTCTTAAAAATTGTAGTTGATTTTGTGGTTGAATTTGGATGATTTTGGTGAAATTCAACCAGTTTCCAAACACACACCGGAGAGTCACCACCTATGGAGCAGAATTCATTGGTGTTCGCCTGTGAGATAGCAAGGCGGCCGGGAACACGAGAAAGGGAGCATATTTGATAAGAAAAAGGGGGTTGGACGGGCAGTTATGTGTGTGCAGGGGTTTTTTCGTTTCCAAAGGTTAGGAGGTTCAATTAATAGATTATTTACAATTAATTTATGGGAGAATTACACTCAGATCCCGTGGGGATTATCACTTAATCATTCAGACTCCTTGAGATTTGAAATATTACACACAGACCCCCTGAAGTTTGTATGCACATAACACATAAACCCTTTACCGTTAATGTCCGTTAGTATATCTATTAGTAAATCACTTCCAGACTCCCTAAAATTTGTAGGTGTGTAATACTTAGACCCCTCATGTGTTAAAATGTTATACTTAGACAAAAAATACTCCAATTAAATACTTTAAATTTTACAACCCAAATTCATATTCTATTATGACATTTATTGAAATAAAATTAAAAATATATATATAATTTTTTTCATAAAAAATTATAATTAGTATACAATTATATTATCTATTGGAATTTAATTTGATCGTTTAAATGATCAAATTAGACTACCAAATTAAAACTAGAATATATTGTGTCAATTACAGTTTGATCCCTTATTTAGATTTTTAAATTTATTCTAATAGATAGTATAATTATATATACTAATTATGATTTTTTAAGAAAAATTAGATTTTTATTTTTGATTTTATTTCAATAAATGACATAATAGAACATAAATTTTGGTTGTAAAATTCATGTTCTATTATGACTGACTTAGACCCCTTATTTGATTATTTTGATTTTATTTCAATAGATAGTATAATTGTATACTAATTACGAGTTTTAAAGAAAAAAATGGCTTTTCATTTTTGATTTTGTTTCAATTAATGATACAATAGAATATGAATTTTAGTTGTAAAATTTAAAATATTTGATATTATATTTTTGATTAGATTATTTGTAGCCTAAGTATGACATCTTAAATTTGAATGGTTTAAGTATTATACGTCTATAAATTTCAGGGGGTCTCGATATAATTTACTAACCGATATACTAATGAACATTTGAAGGCAGAGGTCTAAGTGTTATGCGTGAACAAATTTTAGGGGGTTTGTGTGTAATATTTCAAATATCAGGGAATTTGAGTAATTAAGTAATAAACCTCAGGAGATTTAAATGTAATTGTTCATTAATTTATTTGGCCCTCAAACTATATCGTTTATGTCAATCAAGTCTCTAAACTATGTTTTGTGTCAATTTAACCCCTGAACTATGTAATCTAACTCAACGTAGCTCTTCAGTCAAAATTCGTCGCTAAGTTTGACGGAACCCTCACATGCATATCATCTGAGTTAAAGATTCGGTTATAGTTTACGGGTCACGTGATGTGCACATGAAAGTTTTCGCCAAAATTAATGGCGAATTTGGACGGAAGAGACACATTGTGTTAGATTGTATAGTTTAGGGACTAAATTGACATAAAACATATTTCAGGAACTTTACTGACACAAATGATATAGTTTAGTGACTAAATAGGTAGTTAACTCTAATATTTAAGAACTTAACTGAAACATGAGTCATTCTATTAGATTCTGACTCACATCAATTTTTTATTGAAATATTGTTAAAAGCATTTTTTTTTTGTTGACTTTAGTTTTTGCAGTGGTGCGAGTCTCGAGCACTGAAACACTCTTTTTTATTTTTTATTTTTATAAATGAATGCCTAAGTGAAAATGTTCAAAAGTCCCCCAAATTCCTAATAAAGAGGCCCATCTCAAGACCAAAAGTTACTACTTATCCATCTTAAGCCCTAACCAGCTCAAAACAAACCATCAAATCAAAAGCTCAAAAGCAATGTCATGGTATTCCTATATATTGAGGTGTTTCTATAGGATAATCTTTACGGAGACTTTCATTATGCAGAGAAGAAAACGGATTTAATAATAGATGACTTCTCTTGTTGAAAAGATAACCTAGTTTTATTTTGATAGATCACTAAGTGGATATGTATCAGAAAACTACTCATTTTGCTTAGCTTCTTTTGTATTAGAATCTTTAATTTACAAGAACTATTTTTGAGAGATTATTAATTTTTTATTAGAAGCAGAAATAGCCTCTCTACATGTAGAGGTAAAATTACATATATCTGACCCTCTCCAACTCTGCAGTGACGAAAGCCTCATGCACTAGATCACCCTTTGTCTTTGTTTATATTGATTATAATTCCACCCAGATATATTTTTTTGCATTGGAACTTAGATCTATAAAACATAAATGTAGTTAATGTTATTGGTCTGTGTTTCTCTACATTAGATTTGGCCCAATAAGGAAAATTTTGACTCTATTCCCAGTCGTAATTGACCTTTTTGAATTATAATTTGACCTCAAGTGAGTTGTAATTAACACCTATTTAGTTATGAATTTTGTTATGGTACCAAGGTAGTCATTACCATAAAAAGGCACCACTTCACTTATGTATGCAACATCTCAAAGCTAGAGAAATTGAATATTGTGCACAATGTTTTACAGGGTAATATTCCAGCTGAAATTGGTAATCTGTCCAACTTGGAGTTATTAAACTTGAGGTATAACCAACTGACAGGTTCAATACCATCAGCAATATTCAACATATCTGCTTTGCGAGCAATTGATCTCACAGATAATAGCTTATCTAGTAATTTGCCAGTTGATATTTGCAATCATCTTATTAAACTAGAAGGACTCCATCTCTCTCAAAATCGTCTCAACGGCCTAATTCCATCCAATATATACAAGTGCAGGGAGCTTCAACGCCTCTCTTTGTCCTTCAATGGGTTCTATGGTGGAATACCTACAGAAATCGGAAACTTGACTGCGCTGAAGGAGTTATATCTAGGGATTAACAGCTTGACAGGTATGATATATGGATAAACATTTCTTGTTCTCCTTCCACTATATAAATTTTTTTCCATGTACTGTGCACTTGACTATCTGTTTATAAATGAAAACTGACTAACTTACATGTTTCTTGTTTATTTTTACTCTAGAAAAGATTAACTAAAATTATAAATGATAGCATGTCCCAAATTTCCACTCAAAATTCAAAAATAACTGTAAGATGGATCAATCATTCGCTTTGAAAGTGTTTGGTAATGAAAGTACACAATGGACTTAATAATCCACAATTTTCATAACTGATAATTGTTTTAAATCTCCTGAGATTACTGCTCGACTTACTTGCAATTTGTGTGATGTTAGATTACATACATTACAAATAAGAGTGTCAGTTGTCTCACGTTTGTGTCGTTTAGGGGTAGAGCTAGAAAAGTTCTTTAGTGGGGGCAAATTTTAACAATAATAAAGTTGAAAATTTGAATTAATAAATACAAAAAAAGGTCACATAAGAATTTATAGCATTCTTCATATACTTACAGTTTTATAACACTTTAAAAGCTTTTTTGGTACCTTTTGTGTTTGAATATTTACTTTTTTATTTTTCCTTGTCTGGACTTGCCCTGTGTCATGTTTTACGTTTCATCACATGTATAGTAGTATACGTTTGCGCATATATAAATGTATTGGTCATATATTACGATCCATATAATTCAATTTGTGTTATTGTGATCAAGTGTATTTTTACTTTTACAATGAAATTGCTTTTTTACTTTAAAAGAGTTACCCAAAAAGAAAAACATTACCGACTGATAACTGAAATATCAATCGGTAATACTTCAAATCAATATGTTTACAATGGTTCTCAACCATAATTATCAAAATTCCAATCCGGATCATAGGATCTTATGATCCTAAAATCCATACATGTAAATCAATTGTCTCATAGAATCTTAATGGATAGTGATCCGGCTCTTATAGAATCGCAAGATCACAATTCGAATTGTAATTTTACTGGTCCAAGTTGTTGGGCTTGCATTTAGTTATTGAGCTGACCAAACTCATATTTATTGCGTATTTCTAGTTTTAATACTAATAGACTCTATCCAAATGTAATTGTCTCGTATAATTGAGAGTCGATTGAAAGATTTCAATGGATAAGAAAAGATATAAAAAGTTCTTTTTGTTACAAAAAGCTTTCTTCATTTGTTTGCCTCTCTTGTTGAAATTGAAAACAACAATTAGGTTTGATCTCTTCTCTTTGTGAGTGTTTACAGTCAGATAGTCTTCTATTTTCAATTTTCTAATTTTTTTTTGGGTATTGAACATTCAAAATTGATTATTCAATAGTCTCTTAACTTTCAAGTCTTTCTTTTATATCGTTCTCTCTCTGAATTTTAAGATAAAAATATTTCAATTTTACTATTTCTGTTTACAAACCCCCCTAGATAAAAAGGTCGCTTTTAATTTTCAATCTTATTTGATAAAATTGAAATTTCTTAAATTTTAATCATATCTCATATACTAGGCTTGTTTTATTCATGTTTTAAGAATTCTATTTTGTTGCATATATTTTCCTCCAGAACTTTTCAATTCGTAGGATTTTACAATTCTCGATCTAATCTTACGATTTAGATCCTTTATCATTCTCTACCGATCTAATGTAGGATCTCAATTTAAAAAAATCCTTGTTCTTGACTAGTTTTCATACTTTGAAACTATTGGATAATAATTTCAATATCAATGTTATTAATTTTGTTTTTATGAATATACATATTAACAATGGTGAGAAAAAGGGGACGATATATAAGGAAAGAGAATATAAACTTTGGGATGATATTTTGAAAATATGATGATGGGATTCAACTGATGAGATATTAGTTAAGCAACCTAATCGTGAGTTATTTTTGTGTTCGTGTCATATTTGTATCATGTTTTTGTTAATATGTAAAATTGACATCCCTAACTAATTGGTCACATACTATAATAATCCAATTGAAAATTTGCTTGGCACCATGCAGGTAGAATTCCAAAGGAGATAGGTAATCCTGCACATTTGGAGATATTGAGCATAAAAAGTTGTTCTCCAACAGGGTTCATTCCATCAGCCATCATCAATATTTCTTCTTTGAAAGAGGTTTGATTTC